AATAAAGAATCTTTAAATTCTAGCATCTTTAACGGGAAAATTCTCCGATAGAATCTTAAGTCGGAGTAAGAATTCCTTAACTATCCTGCATATTTAAACATACTGCATTTCGTGGCTCTAAATAAGGTCTCTGCATGCTGTTGACAACACTAACAGGAACGAGGCTTCATAACCAGGCACGCTGAAGCTGATGCGGAGGGAAGCGGCCCTTCCACCAGGCGGCAGAGGTGCTGCGGCACGGCGGTGGGATCTCCGGGGCCGGCGTGGTCCCCTGAGGCGCGGAAGCTGAGTCGCGTCAGCCCAACCCTCCCTCCTCCGGTGGCCCGCGCCCAGAGGGAGCTGCGGCAACTCCGGGCTGCTCTCCAGAGAGGCAATCAAGGAGGCGCTGCAGAATGGCTGGGAACCGCTCGCCCTCCTCTTCGGCCTATTATCTTCACCTTCATCATTCCTTAGCATCTACGGAAGACCTGTGGGGCACAAGGGGCTGGGAAATACCTGTAAATTTGTGGAACAGTATGGATGAGCGCTTCGACCTGGCACGGACTCAAGTTTCAACCGTGTTGGCGGTGACTGTGACCCAGAACTGCCTTTACTTAGTTGAATATTGTCTGAGTGTTTGGCAGGGCAGGGGGAAACAACAACAGTCTGTTAAATTGTGGCCCATCATTGTGAGATTCTAAAAGGATGGGGGATAATAATTTTGAACTAAGAATCCAAGAGACGGGAGTTGATTTCAAAGATTTCTCCAGCACTGAGTGAGGGTAGGCAAGTCACTTCCTTTCCTCTGGTCTAGACCTCAGTTTCCTGGTTTGTAAAATGAAGGAACTGACAAAAAATGATCTGTATGTTTCCGTGTGTGTGTATGTATATAATTTATATATTTTAAAAATAAATTTAATACCTTCATTATATGTGAAACTTAAATTTATATGTTATATTTTACGTATTTTTGTAATTTAATTATTATTATATATATATATATACATACACATTTTTTTCAATACCTTCCAGGCCAATGTCACTAACCAATTAAGTTGGAGGCTACCTGGGAGGCCTTTAATGAAGAAGGGCTTGGAGAAGTGGACTTCGATGCTTTCGGCCACAAAACCATCATACATGCCTTTGGCAAAACAGCAGCTCCATCCTTCCCCTCCAAAACCTTTGCGGCTTCAGCTAGTCTCACTCCGGTTTCCCCCAGTTCCTCTTACACCGCCTCCCGGCGCCACCACGTCCCTCCCTGCAGGGCCTACGGCTGGAAGGGAACTCACACTGCTTGCGGGACTCCTGGGGGCCGCCGCCGCCGGGCTCCCCGCGCGCCCCGCACCCGAGGCCTGCGGGCTGCCGAGGCTGCTCCCGGTCGCGGCCGGCCTCGGGCACCGCCACCGCGGTCACCGCCTCCTCCCCTCTCATGCTTCAACGGTCTTCTTCGCGGCCCGAGGCCGGCTGGCCGCCTCCGCCCCGCCGCTGGCTGCCGGGGAACGCGAGGCGTCTCCGGTTGCCGTAGCGACTGCGGATCCTCCCCGCCCCCAGCCTCTCTCCGCCGGCGTCTCCAGGCGTCCCGCGCGCCCCGGAAGGCGCTGGAGCTGAGGGGCTGCGATTGCTTACCCACCAAAGCGAAGGGCGTTGCATTTCTCTCTCCGGCTTTTTTCTCACACGAGTTTCGCAAGAGAGGCTTTACTATTCCACGGTAGGGAATCTGAACTCAGAAAAGTTTGGCCCCCAAAGCCAAAGAATTGGTCACCACCTGAAACAGGTTGGGGCGGGAGCAGGGACTGGACGGTTGAGTTCAAGATAAGGTCTCTGGTTTCACGCAGTGTTTTGCTTGTCGTGACCCTCTCGCTGCTACACACACAATGTAACCGAATAAATGAATGTTGAGGGTTCCCAACTTTTGGACTGTAAACTGTTGTTATTATCAAACCACTCTTGTAGTGTCCAAGCACGTTTGTATTCACAATTTCTTTCAATCCATATAATAACTAATTTTACAAATGAGAAAATCAAGTTCAGAAAAGTTTGATTTAAATAGCAAATGGAAAAATCTAGGTTTTTATTTGGAGCATGAGGTCGCTCTTGTTTTGTTTTTGCAGTCATTAAAAAATTGTGATGTTAATTTTATGAAAGCTAAACGTGCAGAATTAAATAGTTCTGCAAGGTTTGTAGCCAAATACAGAGGACTCCATTTTACCCCACAGGCAACCACATTCACCTCTTTTGGCTGATAGTTTAGTATTTAAAGCCATCTAACCAAATGCTTATTTTGCTGCTTTTTATATATTTCAGTTTTAAGCATCACATCTTGATTTCCTTCAATGGAAAATGAGGGTTTAGCTCTCTTTCATGCTCGTCACCTCACGTATACTGTCCCCTCCAACTGCTAATGTAGATAAATTGAAATTTTGGCTAGATTTTACAATGAATTACTATGGCTGCATGAACTCTAGTTGCAGATGAGTCCACCACCTACTATCCTAGGGTCACTTTTTCTTTCTGCACAACCTTTTAATTACCTGGGGTTAATAATTGCCTTGTTTTTTAATTTGCTTGATTTCTAATATCCTTATCACTCATTAATTCCCAAACTCTCCTTGTGTAAATCTCTTAATATCTTCAAATACATAAGGAATTCCATCAATTTCATCTTTTTGAAAAAGTCCCGTCCAGAGAGACCTGATCTGTTCCGGTCTGCGCTGGTTGCTCTCCAGACCTGTGGTTACACAGCTGTTGTCTAAGGATTTCCCTTCACCGCCATGCCTCTCTCTTGTGTTGAAGCTCTGATCTTCTTCTCTTGCTTGGTTTACTTACTTGTTTGTTGGAGCATATCTCCAGGAGCTTTCTGAAAAGTGGTGTATGGGAAATAAAACGCCCAAGTCTTTCCATTTTTGAACGTTTATTTTACCCTCTCCTAAAGGGGCGGGTCTAGCTGGATAAAGAACTCCAGGTTGGAAATCATTTTTCCTCAGAATTTTTAAGTCATTACACTATTGTCTTTCGGCATCTCCTGCTGCCATAGAGAATTCTACCGACGTTCTATCCATGACGCCTTGGGTAGGACATGTTCTTTCTTTCTAGAATTGTGGAGGATCTTCTCTTTGTCCTCATGGTTCTGAATTTTATAATACACCTTGATGTGGGTAAATTTTCAGCCATTTTGCTGGGCACTCGGCAGATCATTTCAATCTAGAAACACATGTCCTTCATTGAAAGATTTTTTCTTGAATTATTTTATTGCAATCTCTTTTTTTCTCTCTGTTCTCTCTGGAACTCCTATGATTTGTATATTAGATCTTCTGATTTGTCTTTTAATTTTCTGACCTATTTTTCCTATTTTATATCTCTATTTTTGCACTGTTTTCTGGGAGATTTCCTCAACAGTTTGTAAACATTCTATTTTTCACTTCTACTGCCATGTTTCTAATTTCTTAGAACTCTCTTTTTTGTATGGAAGCTTGGTCTTATATCATGTTTGGATGCAATGTCTTACCTCTCTAAGGGTATTAATCGTATACTTCATTTCCAAAGTTGTTTTCTTTTTGTATAATTGCTGCTTCCTCCAAGTTAACCTGTTTCCATTTCTCTTGGTCTCTGTCTTAGTAGCTTTCATCAATCTTCAGGTGATCCCTGACTGTCTTGTCCTATCTAGTAGTAGAGAATATGACTCTGTACATACAGGTGGGCTTATTAACTGGAGGTTTCACTGATAGGTAATCTCTCTGGGTTGTTCAGTTGGGGAAGCCCTGATGTCAGTATTTTAAGGTCTTATCTCTTGAACTGCTCTGATTCTCCATGGGGTGACGCCTCTAGTCTCCGTGAGGGAGTATCAGCCTGGTGCCAGCACCCTGGGAAGTGAAGGGGAGAAGAGAACCAAAGACTCAACATGAAGTATGTAAGCATTCATGAAATGCCCATTTCAGTGTGGTGTCCCGCCCTCAGCTGTGCTGTGTACCGTCCAGTCCAGAGAGCCTGTGTGAATTTTTTATATGGCTAATAGTTTTTTTTTAACCATCTTAACCATTTTAAATGTTAAGTATATTTACATTGTTGTATAACACTAGAAATTTTTCATCTTGCAGATTAGAAACTCTATACCCATTGAACACCAACTTCCTGTTTCTCCCTTCCTCCAGCCCCTGGCAACAACCATTCTGCTTTCTGTTTCTATGAATTTGAATACTTTAGATGTCTCGTATGAGTGGACTCATACAGAATTTGTCTTTTTGTGATTGGTTTATTTTATTTACCATAATGTCTTATGCTAAAAAGGATTAATCCCTGTTGTAGCACGTGAAAGGATTTTCTTCTTTTTTAAGGCTTAATAATATTCCATTTTATGTATCTGTTACATTTTTAAAAATTTGTTCATCTGTCAATGGACATTTGACTTAGCTTCCATCACTTAGCTTCCATCACTTAGCTGTTGTGAATAATGCTGTAATGAATGTGAATGAGCAAATATCTCAAGATCCTTCTTTGAATTCTTTTGGATATATATCAGAAGTGGGATTGCTGGATCATATGATAATTCTGTTTTTAATTTTTGAGGAACTCCACTGTTTTCTAAATGTCTGTACCATTTTACATTCCCACCAACAGTAACTGAGGGTTCCAATTTCTCTACATCCTCACCAACACATGTTATTTTCTGTTTTTGTGTTTCGTTTCTTGATAATGGCCATCCTAGCAGCTATGAGGAGATATCTTACTGTGGTTTTGCATTTATCTAACGATTAGTGATGTTGATTATTCATATCCTTGTCGGCCATTTGTATTTCTTCTTTGGGGAAATGTTCATTCAAGTCCTTTCCTCACTTTTTAATCAGGTTATTTGTTTTGTTTTATTTTGCTTTTGAGTTGTAGCAATCTCTGTGTATATCCTGAATATTAACCCCTTATCAGATACATGATTTACAGATATTTTGTTCTATTCTGCGTGTTGCTTTTTCACTTTGTTGATTATTTCCTTGGGTGTGCAGAAGTTTTGGAATTTGATGTAGTTCCCCTTGTCTGTTTTCACTTTTGTTTCCTGTGCTTCTGGTCTCATATCCAAAATGTAACTGCCAAGACCAACATTGTGAAGATTCTCCCCTATGTTTTCTTCTAAGAGTTTTATAGTTTTAGGTCATATGTTTAGGTCTTTAATACATTTTGAGTTAATTTTTATATGTGATACAATGAAAGGGTCCAACTTCATTTTTTCCCATGTAGATATCCAGTTTTCCTAGCACTGTTGAAGAGACTGTCTTTTCCCTATGGTGTGGTCTTGGAACCCTTGTGATAGAATGTTCATGCCAGTACTACTCATAAAAGCACCAAACTGGGAACAATTCAAAGGTGCTTCAAAAATCAGCAATAAATGTATATATAAATTATGGTATGTTTCCATAACAGAATATTTTGCAATGGGAAAGAACCAACCCCTGCTACATGCAAAAATAGGGATGAATCTCTCAGATGTAATGTCTTATGAAAGAAACAAACACAAAATATATATATAAATGATTACACTTATGTAGGCAAAACAACATAATGGTGACAGAAGTTAGAATAGTGGTTACCTCTGAGGGAGCCCTGAGAGAGTGACAACAAGGTAGACTTTTGGGGCACTTGATCTGGGTAGTTGTTAAATGGATGTGTTCACTTCGTTGAATTCATCAAGATTTCTAAACTTTACTGTGTTTGCTATACCTCTACAAAATTATACAAAAAATTTGAAAATATTTTTTTCTATTAGAAAAAACTAGTCTGAAAATATTTTTACTCAAAAAAAAAAATAGCAAAACCCCAATGTAGTCTACTTTGATCAAATAATAAAGAATTAAGCAATTATCATTTTTCTTTTTGTCTCCAATACCAAAAAGCTTGGAGATAATTTAATTGTCAATTGCAGTAAGTATATTAACTTAAGTGGTTTATTTCCTTCATTCTCTTAAATGGCTTTTGATTTTCTGTTTCTAGTTATTATATGCATGCTACTAATTATACATGATCTCATATCTCCTTGGGAATAAAATGTTCATAAAAAAATAAGATGTACTGTTTTATACATGAACTGTATTGATGATTTTTCTTTACTTTTTTTAGTTCCAAAAAACTTAAACCCAACAAAAACAGGATGGCTTATCCTTTTCTCATTTTCATTAAAGGAAAGAGACCAAATTATCCACTAGATGGAGGCAAAACCCAAGACTAAATTTTCCTTGTGACAAAAATTATATTGAATGTAAGAACATGAAGTCTTTATTAAAGAAATAAAACAATATATTGCCAAAGTTAATATATTACTTTGTATTACTCAATAGTATATTAGTAAAAATCTGGGTGGAATACATTTTACATTCTCTGTTCAATTCTATAGATTTCAAACATGTCTCCAGAAGTCACCTCAGTCTTTCTTCTGCTTGGTAGTAAGGCAATTAGATAAGCAATGGGATGTTTAATGCTATTATTTTTTCTTCAGAAAAGTAGATGCTATAACCGCTTTGGTATGTTACTCCAGATTCTAACAGTCTTGATCTAATTATTTTAAAAGCCAGCAAGATCCTTCTTCTAGTAACTAAACCGTCTTTCAAATTTGTTGAATGTAATGTCAAATGGACTAATCATATTAGGGCAAATATTTTGCTTCCTACTCTATAATTTAATGGAGAAAGTGCTGCTTGCAATTACAAAGGGCTTTTTGCTTGGGATTTTAAAATTCCAGTGAATTGGTGAGATGAATATTTTTTCGGATTGCTCCTAAGACTCCACAGGCCCCCAGGAAGATATACCCCTAGAATCTGGGGAGG